GAGAGAGAGAGAGAGGGGAGGGAGGGGGAGGATGAGAAGAGGATCCGCCGGCGCGTAGGCATCGCTCGTTGCACATGCATGCTGCACGTGCGGACACGCGGAGGGTAATGGGCGAGGACCGGAAGGCTCGGGAGGGCGCGGAGCAATGGGCGGAGGGTAGGAATACTCTGCGAACTGCTTTTTGACGGTAATTCTGTTTTGATTGCATGCGAAAGGCTGAGATTTAATAGTACACGAAGGTATACACCCGGATTCGATGGGGTGAATAAAAAGAGATAAATCAAAAGAGTGATAAAATTTATGAGATGAGATGTAATCAAAGTGTTTTAAAAATATCATCAAACATTTTTTATATTTATCCAAAATTTTTTTAGTATTAATTTAATTTTTATTTACACCGAAATATTTAATTTGGAAATTATATTTTCAATCACATTTTAATTTTATTCGTTAATCGTATTTCTCGCGATCGTAAGAGTTCAATGATCGCGAGGCGATATTCTTTTCATCAACCGATGTATGTGTTATCGAATTTTTCAATATTTAGTTTGTATCATGCAATGACAATAAAGGATTAATGCGGAAACCTTTGACATTTTTAAGTAAAGCTCGTAAATGCTAGCAGGAGATTGCATTTATCGAAATTATCACAAATTATCCAGTGTTCAAACAGGGCGTTGGATGGAAATGTAAAGAATGTGTCGCCTTTCGTATAATTTCGCGATTCATGGTCAATAAAACATAAAGTCAGCAAACAGATTGTATTTCGTAGGCTTAGTACTGGCGTGTTTTCACGAGGCGTTTCTTAAAACGACTGTGACCTGAGAATCGTCGCGATATATGCAATCGTGTTATAATGGTAGATAACCACCGATGCCATGTCGCGTGTCACCCATGTTGCATGCGATTGAAAATTTAATACGCATGTACAGAAAGGAGCAATGACTCCGTAAGAATAATACCATCCACGCTTATAATAGCGCATATCGATTTAGCCTATCATTGAGTCTCCTAAACATAAGCAGATTCAAATACATAAGCTAAACATAAGCAGATTCAAATACAGTGTAATCGATTAGATGATTGTTCAATTAATAATAAAATTTTCTAAAAAATTTGTTTAACTGATGAAACTTGACAGTATCAATGCTAATCGAAAAATTTAATCTCTTAATAGATGTAAACAATACAATTTTATCTCTACAATTTTATTTCTTTACTTTACCTCTTCTTATTTTATTTCTTTTACCAACAATTAAGTAATAAATTAATTATGTTATTAGCAAGTATGTATATATTCACTATGTAAGAGTGAAAAAAATGCGCGCAGATAATCGCCAATGCTACTCGCTGCATCAATCTCCGTCTCATAGAAAATTGTATTTCTGCGAGATATTATCCAGCGGGCAGATATAATTACATATTGCAACTTTATAACGCGTGGGCGACGAGTAAAAAAAATGACGTCACGTATCTCTACCGCCCGCATCCGCGCCTTTAGTCTGCCTTAGTCGAGAATTCTCGTTTTCTCGACTAGGAAGAGACACGCGACGTGAGACTTCGTTATTTTATCGTTCTCATATGCAATTGCATCTCCTGTGACTGCACGCTCACGTTTAATAAACTTTCCTAGGCTAAAACTTCCGGAAAGCTGATTTACGCGAAGGGGATAAACGATGAGCGATGAAACGCGAGACGAGCGGACGAGGGGCTTCCGTCCGTCTGTTTTTCGAGGGTTTCGCTGGCTGCGCCCTTCGGGGAGAGGTTCGAGAGGGTTGGCTGAGCAACGTGTCGCGACGGGGCGCCCTTAGGGGATATTTCTCTCGGTTCTAAACGCTCTTTGCGTAATTGACCGATTAAATCGCCGCGGTCCCTTTACGACGGATGATAGAAGGAAGCATCGGAATTATCGGGAATTGGGTGGGCCGGCGACAAACCGGCGATTCACCCCGTCTGAAAATCTCACCACGCTCCGATGCGCGCGTGTCCGACGTAATGGGACGAATTTTACGCGCGTGCGGATCGAGTCGTACAAAATTATTCAAATCCCGATGCGTAATTTGTTGCTCCCGACAGGCAGGCTCTTCGCACCGATAATGAAACTCATGCGATGACACATACACATAATTTTTAATCTGTTTGTCGAATCAATTTTACTAAGAAGAAATCTGCATTATAGACTCGATAGATTATCAATTAATTAACAAAGGAGGTTGCTCGTTGTTATATTCTTTGATTACATATCGATCGTTTAGAAAATTTAAATGACTATGGGAATCATTAGAAATATCGCGTTATCTACACTCTTATCTTCAGATGTCAAAAATATGAGAGCCTCGTCAAAAATTCTCTCATTAACGCAGTCGATGCACCGTGTGATAACAGGCGAAACCCGTTTCGTTCGCGGCGCACGTGCACTAACTGCACCGCGCCCATTATCGTTTCTATGTGCTTCACAGAGTAAGTTTAGCATCGGACTTTATGTTGTTGCCGGTCTGTGCAATGTTCGAAGAATACCGGAGTATTTGCAGTACACGGTATTCTAAAAATATCGGCGCAATTTCAGTTGCGAATGAAAAAAATATCAATAATCGTCTCAACATCGATAATTTTACTTTTCCAGTAATTAGAGATGTCACATGAAAAAATTAAATTTCAATGAATTTTAGTTTAATTAACAACATTCAGTTTAAATATTTTTGATAAAAAAAAATTTATCTCCAACTCAATCACCTTTAAAGAAAATTGTATTCAAAAGATACGCTGAAACATATTTCGCAACACTCTATATGTATAAACTTTAGATAATCCATGCGAAATCCTTTGTTTAGTATCTGGGATAAGTGTTGCCAGGGGTAAGAAAAAGCTGACAATGGATCCCGAGCGCCGATTTCCTCGACGAGTTCTGCATATGGGTGGATCTTGAAGCGAAAGCCACAGTTCCGCGCAGATTCGCCGATTCAACATGTTTCCTTTGCGGAACACGAACACGACCTATTTATTCGTAAGGAACCCGTTAATTATACCGTTGAAGTCTTCAGCAATATTTTTAACTTATAAATCGTGAAAGTTTCTCTTAATTCTCCTCCTCTTTCAATACGACGAAGTTACTGTGACGTATTGTCTTTCGGATACCGCGTCGAGAAGAAGCATCTGCACCTGCATCGTAACAGAACCGATGATAATCCTGCGAATTCAAGCCGGTATTTTGTCTGAAACGTCAGGCTGCGCGTTCGCTGTGCGCACCGAGCGTTTGCGTGGCCAACCTTATTTCCGCCGGACGATAAAGAATACCGGCACCGAGAGATTCTCGTTGAATCCGGAGCCATAGATCTTAATGTAACATATACACAGACCTAGTCTTCCCCTCGAAACAGCATTTCCTGCGCCTCTGAGAGCGGAAGTTTTCGTAAACGTATCGCCGTAGAACTCGCTCCTTCTGTCTAACCACCAGACGATTTACCTAAGACTAACAAAGTACCTGATTGTTTCCGTCAGTCGAAAGGCACTTGGACGCATCGAAATCTCGATCTCTGTTGTTTTTGAACGTTGCGATAAGAATAATTGTAGATTTGAGTTTACTTGTACAATAAAATTGATATTAATCCAAACATTAATCCTTAAAGGCTGAGTGAAATTTAAATTACTTTTCCTAAAATATCACTAATAGCTGGTAGATAAACAGACTGAGATCTAATAGATTTCAAGTGGTTCTTCAATTATAATCCATTTTCATTATCGGATTAAGCGAGTCTGAAAACTCATTGGCGAGAAGCCAATTATTACGGAAGTTCGTCCACTTCGGGCGGCGGCCCCGAAGGAAAGTTCATGATAAAAGTGGAGAGATCTTGAAACACGAAATTACAAAATTACACATATTCCATAAATAAATATTCATTCGACGAAATGAATATTTGCTCACACTCGTGACGTTTAACGATAACATTAACGGAGAATAAAGCATATAGCATTTTCCGGAAACTCCAAAAGTGAACACTACTAATGGCCAGTATTACAAATAATATATACATTTTCAACGTACAAAAATTGAATCGATAGATATCAATTAAGTCGATTAAGACCTCGGGAATATAAAGTAAAGGTAAAATAAAAATATTAATTGCAGTTTGCTGAGAAATATTCTTTTTCGATCAAGTTCCCCCGCTCGTTTCTCTTGCGGAACGGTAAACGAAACGCACTTGTACACCCGGTTTCCGTTTCGAGGCGGACGCGCGGAGTGATGCACAACGTAGTAGACACGAACGAGGATGAGCGCATCGCGTCGACAAAAGGAATGCGAGAAGCCAGGAAACTAAAATACAGTGGGCTAACATTAGACGCTAGGAATCCGCGATATTTTATTTTTACGATTATACCGCATCCCTCCCCCCTCCGCCCCGTCGCCCTGCCAAAATGCTTGGCGTAAGAAAAGTATGTATGCGAACGAGATACGTCGGACATACGTCGGAATGTTGTTAGCCCCGGAAAAGAAACAGACCACAGAAAAGGAAATTTGTTCGCCGTTCTGAAAGAATAAATCTCCCGAGCGGGTCGAAAACATTTCGTAAGAATTGCATATAAGGAGTAATTAATTTAGCTACCTAATTAACTCGCGCGAATAAACGTAAACTCACGTGGCGGGCCTATCCCGGAACGGTGATACCGTATAAAAATATAATGAGACGTAATTGCCTATGTGCTTTTGAAACTAAATGTACGCATATTTTAATACGTAATATCATTTATAAAGTGTAACGATCATTATGCCACAATTAATTATTATAAGTAATTTAATCAAATTTAATGAATACTAGAGCAAGATATGAGTCAGGCAAAAGGTCCACTCGCTACTGGACGAATAAAATAAATCGCAAGCCGAGTGAATAAAAAACGCAAGCCAAGGTCGTCGAATCCTCGGGCGATGACGATCCATGAGCGTTGCTGTTTTAAGAAGACCACCGGGAAGAATCGGTTCAAAGGCGGTGGCCTTCGTGATGCTTCAGTGGAGCGAATGAGCATTAGGCAATCGAATCCGCCCGTAAATTGCGTCGCGGAGTGAAGAACAATCTTGCGTCAATGTCGATCAACGGAAGAGGAATCATTCAATTTTGCAACGGACGATTAATAGCCGATCGACGGCGACGCCAACGCCGATGCCGATAGTCGATGGCGCCGACACGCTCCTCCTGCGATCGGATCGCAAGAACATTCTTCGGTTTGTATCGCCTATAAGCAGATAAGCGGAACGCCGACGGGTTCCGCATGAATCTGCGCAACAGGAAATTCAAGACGTATGTCACTAGAAGAGAAGATGACTCAAGATGACGATGATTTTTTAATAAGACCAATGTGAGTAAATGAATTTATTTTGTTGGAAATGAGTTATCAATGGAATAATTATAACCATCGTAACGAGGATTATCGATTTAGCTTTTTAAAATGTGGAATTTACAACAACGGAAATTTATGAAATTATTTGTATGTGTAAGAATTTCTAGAAAACATAACTTTAATTTTTAATCAATTTAATTTAATAACATATAAATTTAATTTATTCTCATGCAATCAGCAATAGGTAATAGAATAATTATGGTAAACTTTCAAAGAGGTGGGATTTGTTTTATTTTTATTTATTATTCTCTCTCAACAAGCTGATAATAATGCACAATAATAAATCATTCAAATTGTTCGATTTCTGATCGATTAGAATAAAATATAGACTTGTCGCATGGTTCATTCGTGTAATCTTGATTTATAATGTTCTAGTTGCACTCTGAAAAAATGATGAGCGATCTTGCGGTGTTAAGGAATACTCATTAATCTTCTATCGAGTTGCGATAATAAATCGTGACGAACGTCTCTCGCAAGACATCCAGCTAAGATTTTTGCAAGATAATATATCTACTTATCAATATTTCGCCATATTATGTAAAAATATCATACTTCGAATAAATGAATATTATTGGATGTTAAGATATTTTTTTTACATGTCAATTGGTTCAAGTTATAAAAACACGTTCGTGCCGATAATATTTAATAGCACTAAATAAATCGGAATGAAAATTTTTAGTACTTCGTTAACGTTTACTCTCAGACTTATAATATATCTCGATTTCTCGGTGAAAATCATTATGAATTATTGGTCTGCGAGATGCCATAGGTATATAGGCTTCGGCGGTTCGACAACGACAGATAAATCTAAGCGTCGTGGCACCTTTATCGCCTTCGCCGATTTAGCATGACGAGATGAAGCGGCATTACGCTATTGGTCGCGGCCACACGCAGAGATAACCCATTCCCGGCTTTAATCCATCACGTTCGTTCAGATACTCCGAAACGAACTTTAATCCTGCGCTGTTACGTTTTAACTGGCTATTCGACTGACTTTTATGGTTTTCTCGAACAGTTCCGCATTTCGGTACTCTCCCCGTAATATTCTCCGGCCGAACGAAAAAAAATGAAGACGTATAATCTCGTAAACTCTTGCACGTTCGCTTACTCCGATTCGCGCAATTCGGTTCCCAAACGATATCCCGGAAATCGCGGGACATGGTGTTCCGGGCACGGAAACGCCATATCGAATCCGCGGAAAATCAACCGGCGAACCTTACAACTTGCGACCGCGCACAAAGGTCGTCGAGAGAGTTAATTGAATTTCGTGCGATACAAACGCGAGAGTTCTCATACGGAGAAACTCTAAACGTGGTTAGACGTGCGATACTTTAAGAAAAACGCATCGTATTCCGTGCAGGTTTTATTTCTTCTCGTTGGAGGAGAAAAAAATCGATTTTCGAAAAAATGTAAAGTCTATATCCGTGTGATGATGGAACGAAATGAGCGTGAGGAGTACGCGACTTTTATCGATCGATTTCTTCCTTGTAACGATTTGCAGGTGAGGCGGATACTTTTGCGTTACGTTTTTGTAATATCCGTGGATAATAAGCTTTCTTATTAGGGGCGCCGTGCAGAGGGATCCTGCACGTGTTGCCGGCACGTACACACTCCACGCCCCATTCTCTTAACGGTTCCGCGATCTCGACGATGACTATCGATTCGAACGGAGCGGAGGAACTTCCGGTCACCGTGAGAATTCGCGGCGCCGTTATCGTTTCACTTCTTCGTGGGTATTCACTTTTCCTTATTGCCCTCGTATCTCGCTTATCTCGCTCGCGATCGATTCCGCAAGGCTGTGAAATTTGTGTCGATTGCGAAAACATCCGCGATGGGCGATTTAACGGCGAATGCCAGTCCGGACGAATTAATCGCACTGGCGATTTACTTACTAGCAGTTGCATTATTTACTCGCATTCCAATCACGCTGGTATCACGATCATTAGCTCGGTAGTCTAACGTGTAACAACGAAAGTTTATACAATGTCTCGCGCGAGACATTAGTTTGAAGATACTACTCACACCCATAAACTAAATAAATGGGACAAACGTTAAGAAAATAAAAAAAAATGTATACATACCTGTTTTAGCTGGAGGGAGAAATATTCACATTTTATGCGTATCTTACTTTTTAAAATCGTGCACTAAATCCATGTGGTCTCCTTCGGATTCTTTCGGACAATTGTCACAAATTAGCACTTAAAAAGTCGATTTAATTTTGCACTCTGTGAATATCATCGCATCAAACAACTATAAAATATGGAGAAAGTGGAAAGCGGCTGCATCTCGAATTCGACCGTAAATTTTAACTGGTGCTCACTAAATACCACGTGTCGTTCTCCGTTTACAGGTCGTTCGTAGAGTCTCATGTAACACGATTTACAGATAGCGATGGGATTTACATACCGGGTCGAGCGACAATTAACGTCGCTTGAATTATGGCAACAAGCAGATCCCCAGGTATGGGGAAACTCGATCCTTCCGCCAAATCGCTGTGGGGGAAAAACTAAACGTGCGTAGATCGCAGTACGCGTACGCATGTGTATCATCTAACTCGCGAGGTGTTCGCGAAACGAGGAAATGATCATGAATTTACGTGGTCGAGCAGAACGCCTGTGGGGCACGCATTAGAAAATAAATAGCGTTCTTTTCATTAAGGCCACGCAGGCATTTTACCGTTTCAAACCGTACAGAATCGCGCTACTTCGACTTCTAGACTGAGACGGCGCAGCTTTGATGATACAAGATGACGAATGGACAAGAGGAAAAAAAAACACATTGTTTTCTTTCGACGCTTTCTTTACCCATTGGATTATACGTCCGTGTAGGTTTGCATATAACGGTTACATGCTACATGTAAACTCATGTAAAACAAAAGTATCAATTCAATTTCTGCGAAGAATGCGATGCTAAAACTTCCGCGGAAGAAAATCAGAAACGATACGGCGCATGCACGCGCATTCACGCGATCAACGTTATCCGTACGATTATTTATTACATTTTAGTAATAAAAGAGAATGGCGATCTACAGTCATCTTTTGTGTTCGAGATTGCCGAGTGACTACCGCTTCCTCGATTCCGGCATCACGATCACGTGCGCACATCGATCATACATTTTCTAAAGATATCACACAACGTGCGCGCGCTCAAACGGCAATTAAAAAATACTTTCCATTTATCAGGCGCGTTGCGTCGAGGGGGACGCTATGGGTATATCCATCATGGTTAGATCGTATGCGTATAGGAGTCGCGGAGAAAGGACCATCTTGCATCCGCCGTGCGTCGTTCATCGATTTTCCCTCGTCGAATAAAGCGGCGGAACCGCGCGCGAAAGACAGGACGGGACGGTCCGATGGCAGCCTTGGAGCCGAACGCGGAAGACAATGAGGCACGGTCTTCGATGCAGTAACATCCGGTTACGTTTCGCGTTATTGTTCCCTCTCCGGGCCAAAGGGCAGATAGAGGTGAGGTTACGTGAACGGTGGAGAATAACGTTGATTTCGCTTAACCCTCGTTAGAGACGACGCTTCCGGGACTTGGCGCCCGCGCCTTCGCAATGACCACGGCGACGCGCAGGAAATTACGAAAATGGCAAGTTATCGATCGCGAACGCGAAATGTCACACCGGCGGATTTCACGCGCTCTCACTCTCTTATTTTCGCAACGGATAATTATCGTTTTTCCGCCTGAATGCCTACATTTCTGCTCACTCGAGATATCTCCTATAGCTATGGACAAAAGCAAGGATAAAAGCAAGGAAGCACGTATGTAAAACTTTGAAATTTTAATTTTTGCTCATTTTATAATTACGTTTTATGTTTATACAACAAATCTTGAAACAGACTGAATTGACAATCGTCTTAAGTTTCACAGTTTGTAGTTTACGAAATTTTTCAATGACTCTGATGTAATTTTGCAAAATTAAGAACGGAACGAATGTGGACAAGCCACTTTGGAAACTTTGGTCCAGACGTTGGGGATGAGAGCAAACATTCAGGAAATTACGCAGAATTACTTATTGATTGGCGCTCGCTCCGCACGATAGAGTGATGTAGTACATTCAGCATCCAGTTTACGGAGGAAAACTCGGCCATGAAAAAATTCCATTTCAATGCCGTGTAACGCGTTTAATTACATGCGAAATGACTTAGTAACAAGAAAACTTGAAAACAACCGTTCTGATAAGATCGCTCGCGGCGCACCAAAAAACAAACGATGTTTATCAATGTTTTTTCGTCAAGTTGATAAACTACAACATGAGTTTCCTTATCTGAAATCGATATCTCGACGTGCTGCACACGTGATTATTATTGCACTTTACCAGTTTTCTGTACTAGTTCAATCTTTTCTCCTTTTAAGATAGTTAAAACTCCATCTCTTGACTTTATTTAAAAAAATTTAATCAAATCGAAATATCTCTGATAAATCTCCGTTATTTGACATTTAATTTCCACTATCGAATGCCACGCGAAATTTATAACGGAGATTATTTCGTTAACCGCTTAGTTTCACTTGCAGAAAGTATAGATGTTATCAGGATATTATTGATATCAAAGACGCAAAAGTTTTTAAACATATGGCGTATCCTCGGATCTTCATTAAGACAAGTCGCAGAAGGAAAGTGATGTTCTGAAAAATTAATGCAAATAATAGAGCATACATTCCGTAAACGACGCCTTGTCGGTTTAAGATTCACCGTGGATAATTGATTTCGCAAATTGAACTGGCAGCTTTATGAACGTAGGAAAGTGTACCGTTAGAGCCGATTAGGAGAAAGGGGTCGATTGAACGCATAAAATCGCGCGCGTTCGGTCGAGACAAGAAAAATGCGATCGGAGCGAAGGGAGCAGGACGAAGAAAGAAGAAGTCGCGGAATTCAGATGGAATTCAGCCGATGCAATTAGTACCGTCGCGAGAAAGGCGCGTGTAAGAAACACGCACGGGACACGTTACGTCACAGCATTAATAAATCGCCGTATAATGGAAAAAAAAAAGAAAAAAAAAAGAAAAAGAATGAAATGGCGAAATGACCGGTCGACAGTCGCGATTGTGTTATTAATTTCTTTTCGACTTTTTGTAACACGAGAGTCGTCTGACAACTGAATAGTCGGTCTATCATAAACGCATTGATAATGCGCATTTATTAGCATTAAACATCTAACGAAACATTACAGATTGAGCTGTCAGTCTTACGATTTTTTTACCGCGTAGTAAAAATTGCAATAAAACCTTTTGTTGCTTTGAGATAAATATCGCCCTCATAAAATATCGTAATAATATCATTAACAAGTTACAATTTTTTCGACAATTAAAAATTCAGAATTTTATCTGAAATTATTACTTGTTTTGTTTAATTTTGTACAAACTCTGAAATTATTACCCTGCGGATTTGTGTCTACGAAAAGATTGAAAGAATGCAGCGCCTAGAATTTTTACTGATACTTCGTACTTGATTTTAGGAATGCGGCGCGAGTGAAAGGGCACGCCTGGATTTTCGAGGACGCGGATGATTAGGGAGGCTTTCTCTGGCCGACGAATCGATCGCGGCTTTTCAATGTCGTAGTGAATAGAATTTGATAGAACCGAGTTTGGGACTCGATATACCTCTATCACAGCAAATTCATCGTCTATCTCGGGCAATCGCGGCCGTATATTCCTTTCATTCGCACGCGGCCTATTGTGCTTAGAAAGTAATCCGTGGAACGGTGAAAAGGTGAAAATGGATATGAGCCTCACGCTCGGCTAGGCACAAGAAAACCAGCACGAAATTCAAAACCGACGCGCGAGAGCATTCGGCCGTCACAACCGATCGGCCTACAGAGAGATGATTACATGTCTCGTATCGCGCGCACATAGCGAGTCCTGCGAATGATGCTGAGTACTCTCGCGATAAACGCAACTTGTAAATTTGTCATTAAAATTGTCAAGTCGATTTGTCGAGCCAAAAGTTCGCTTTTAATGAACGTTCACACGCGTATGTTCATACTGGGCATTCGTGTTTTTTTTAATATAGCGATTATATCGCGATAATAATATTACATACTATCAAAATATTGT